CAGAGTTCATAGTTTCAACTTTTTACAGCCTATTCGTGGATTTTACTTCTAACGTTTGCTATACTTTATTAGTTTTCTTTTTATTTGACTATTATAATAAATGCAATTGTTTAAGATTAGGAAATTGGGCGTGAGCTAAAATAAGATCAATTATAGAATAATTCTTAGTCGTCTCGAAGGTATAAATAGGTAAACGGATTGCGGTAGAGGAGATAAACGGTTCTTCTGCTTATAATTTGCTGTGATATCCCAATCCAACAGCCAATCAGGTCCTGAGCCTGTCAGCCAATCGGCAGCCGCTCTGGTCCAATCAGCCAATTAGCAGCCTCTGATCGATCGCCCGGTCCTCTCTTATAATGAGCCTATGTCTCAATTCGTAAACAGACCTTTCCCCGAAACTACGTTTAGCTTCGTTCTACAAACATTTCGGAAACTTGACATTTCTGGGCCAACAGAATGGAATTGGAAAGAGGTGTGGCGAAATACGCGTAGGGGAGTCACTAAACTAGATTCTCTATATTGACGCAATATATGCTCAATAATTAAATACACATTCATCATTGAGAGGGAAACCTCTACAAATGGCACCAGAGGCCACAAAATTACTGATAAAATCAAAAAGGTCAATATTTATGACTATAAATTTATTAATGATTATAAATATTTAATCAAACCGGTTAAAGGGGTTTATAAATCTCTAATTTAACGTCCATTCAAGTAGTTTGTCTTTATTTACTGTGTATGTTAATAAAATGGAATCCATTTGTAGTGATGAATGCATCTGAGAAAGTTAAGATATTATAATAAGGAAGAGTTAAACATATTTAAGTAAGCAACATCCATTACAACTATTGCTGCATAATGGTCACATACAATCGAACGTAAATCACCGTGTCTCGAGGAAGGTACTTAGGCGCATTAGGGGTCGCCGAACATTAAACGGCAAGTAATGATAATTTCATTCATATCCCGGAGAAAACTGTGACACCGCGCCGGGTTGCAAATGACAGTGTTTTAGTGGAGTCGCTTTGCGGAGATTTTAACAAGTGGCTATAAATTACGGAGTGGAAGTAGACTGGAGTGAGCTCTTCGCAACTGCGGCCGGGAGCCAAAGGTTATACACACAGACCCGTCCCCGACCACGGCGACCTCCTTGTGGATAATTATAATATAGAAAAGATGTGTAGAGTGTAGGCCTTGGAACACATTTGAAAACAGGATCAGTCGAGAAATCATACAGTCTCTCGAGTATTTTACATAAATTTATACTTACTCAATAGTGTTAGTAATGAAACATGGGTTTATTGATAAACTGTGATTAATGCTTATGAAATGGGAACCTTTATGATATTTCTTTTTCATGTATAACTAAGCAGGTATCTGTTAACAGGTATGCATTAACAGACGATATACTACTGCACTCACCACCATTGCAGCCATATTGTTGCGTTGTCTTTGAATACTAAAGGCAGTATACGACTATGGCCAAAGGTAGCCCCTACAACTACTGCAGAGTGCAGACACGTTGTAGCGTATACAGTAACTCAGCTACCTAGGGACCAGGGAGCGAGTAGCACGACTTGGCGATGGCGACTGGCGACTATGTGTGTACTGTATTAAGTTACTTTGATAGCGGAGAGAAGTGGCTTTAGTCGAGGTGTAGATTATTAACTGTAGACTCCAAGATAGTCCAAGTTTACACTTGCACTTGCCACGGGACTTGTCGAGAAATCACGATACCCTTAATGTATCAGCTTGCATATACATTGTTGAAAACCAAGGTTTGAGAATTGACAGAGGATAGTATACAATTTATTTTAAACAGTTTGATATTTCTTCCAGACATTATTGGTCAATATGAGATTCCTTCCGTATGTTTGTAGATTAAAGCAATGATTAAGCAGAATTTAAGTAAAAGTACTGAGTTAAAATCGATCCATGGAAAAACATTAGACATTTTCTATTTTACTGATCTTGCATGATCTAGTTGATTGTGATGCGTGTATTAGACCATTGACAAAAAAATTAAATATAGACCATCAGCCGTGCTGCGGGTACCGTAGGTTCTGGCGCACACCGATGGGAGCCGGGAGCGCCATGTAGTTACGGCGTACGAGCTACGTAACTACACGGCGCTCCCAGCGGTGTGTGCCATTGTAACCGCAGCACGGCTGACAGTCTAATTTAATTCTTTTTGTCCATAATCAGACTTACACGGATAGAGCTCTGTATAGTTTACAAATGCCAACTATTCAAATGTCTTCGTTAGTTAAAGCTACTTTACGAATTATCTTTCCAAGATTGCACGTAGATAACAGGATAAGGCACTCATGATAACTTGTATGGAAATATTACTGGCTCTGGCAGATATTTCGCTGACATTTAATTTAGATATGATCTTTACTTCTTGGTACAAGATTATAAACTTGTGGCTGGTGATGTAGAGGAAACCCTCCGTTAAAACAGCGAGCCATGACCCAGTGCCGGAGATCAAGGTACAGAGTCACGGGTGATACAGACATGGGCCCTCGGGAGTTACAGCCTATAGACTAACCTACTCATGCCGTTAGAAGAATGTTCTCATCCAGAGGGAGAACTAGTTCTCGTGGAACAATTAATAGCCATCCCTCAACAATACGTTGTCTATAGAATGGCGCGGATATGTATGTGTGTGTAATTGTTTACTGCTGAGAAATATACAGTATGGTGGATGGATAAACCATCGCCTATGAATATCTAACCATTGCCTACGAATATCTAACCATCGCCTACGAATATCTAACCATCGCCTACGAATATCTAACCATCGCCTACGAATATCTAACCATCGCCTACGAATATCTAACCATTGCCTACGAATATCTAACCATCGCCTACGAATATCTAACCATCGCCTACGAATATCTAACCATCGCCTACGAATATCTAACCATCGCCTACGAAGAGCAGACCCTCACCTACAGAGAGCAAACCCTCGCCTATGAAGAAAAACCCTCGTTTAAGAATATCGAACCATCATCTATGACAATGTATTTCTTATGGAAACCATAAATCACAATAAAAACCAACTTCCATAGTTATTTGCAAATATACACGAATTAAGCTTTTAATCGACCCATTAGTTAATAAAATTCAATTCAATTCATTTATTCAGAAAATAAAAACATTACGTATACCTTTTTACATTAACTAATCTGAAATTAGGACCCTGCGAAGCAAAGCTATGGCGCAGGGACCGAGTCGCAAACATCAAGGGAAATAACTATATAATAACAAATACATAAAAATAGCAATTACATTAAATTGTGACAAAAAATATTACTATTAACTATATTTTTTTTTTGCGTAATCACTATTATAATTCTAATAGATAATTAATTACTACATCGTTGTAATAGAATGGTGAGGTAATTTAAATCCGAGATTCAATAACCATGATGAACTATATACAGCTTTTAATCTAAATAGTAATAGGAAACAATATTCAAACCTTTATACAAAAGGACAATACTGCACGTCAAAGAAAAAAAAATCGAGCCTTGGGAAGGTATGATCTATGAAGATCAAACCATCATCTATGAAGAGCAAACCCTCGCCTACGAAGAGCAAACCCTCGCCTATGAAGAACTAACCATCATATATGAAGATCAAACCATCACCTATGAAGATACAAAATCACCTATGAAGAGCAAACCCTCACCTATGAAGAACAACCCCTCATATATGAAGAGCAAACCCTCACCTATGAAGAGCAAACCCTCACCTATGAATAACAAACCCTCGCCTATGAAGAGCAAACCCTCACCTATGAAGAGCAAACCCTCACCTATGAAGAACAAACCCTCGCCTATAAAGAACAAACCCTCGCCTACAAAGAGCATACCCCCTCACCTATGAAGAACAAACCCTTGCCTATGAAGTTCAAACCCTCACCTATGAAGAGAAAACCCTGGAATGAATACGACGACAGGCTATTAGATTATACATTTTTACCGTGGATAAAAAAAAAACTATTGCATATAGGAACTAGTTCTGGTAAAAAACCAATCAAAATATTACTTGATGATAAAAGTTGATCGGACACGAAGCAAGCTACAGAGGCTTGTAGGAATGCCAATGTAAGGTGAAGGTGCAAGGTGCCTCGTTAGTCGTTAGCCCCTCGGAGTCCCGCATGGTTTATGACACAAACCTTTTCGCGACTTCTGTTTTTATACTTGAACATTTTCTAAATTAGCCATAACAGTGAAGTATAAATCACAGCTTTATAGCGTCATTACCACTTTCTCCCAGACAACAAGTATTTGAGGAGTCACGCTTTTATCCGTTACTCCGTCTTTCTGTTGGCTTTTACAACGCATACGGTTGTTAAAACCGACCTTTATTTTTTAAGAAGAAATCTTGGTATCTTCTCTAGTCAGGGTCAGTGAACATTTTTTGTTGTAGACATTCATGCGTTTTAAAAAAGACACTCAGCACTGCTTGCATTTTGCATTCTTGACTTATGAGTAAAAGTAAGCAATGCGTTAACAGTTATAAAATGCTTCATGTACAAAAATACTTATCGGTTACTGAACTGTTGTGAATATAGCTACCTTTAAAATATTGAAATATCATTTTTGCATGATACCATTCCTCCAGGATATCATTTATGAGAGCACATTGTGCCTTTGACTTTGCGTAAACAAACAACCAATATGTTAAGTGTATTATGTGGGTGTATAGGGTTTGTTAACATATAAGCGAAAAAGGGTCTAAGAAACATACTGATGATTTATATGCGGTAAACACAAGGGAATCTTTACTTTTTTACCATCACATGAAGAATTCATAAACGAACTCTTTTACTTACGGACTGTAATATGTGCCCAAAATCTGAAATTAATTTATAATATTTTACTAATCACGCCAAACCCTAAAACTCTCTTGTCACACGCTCTAGTCACAACAATCAAAACAATATACATTGTATAGACAACCAGGAGTTAATTTCGATCACTCACCTGTGGACGAATACACTTGCTCTGTAGAAGTGCAGTCGCTGAAACATACATTGTGATGTTACAAATATTATCTATCACTTATAAAGATATTTTTTATTTAAACTACGAACTAATGCTAGATATTGTCTATATGTGGCTGCGAGACAGACATGCTCTCTGATAATAAATGATTTGCCTTATAATGTCCCATATTTCGTGAATAAAACAAAAGAAATTAAAAGTTAAAACTATTAAAAACAAACAAATGTTGATTAAATATCCAGTTTGGTGTGAAAAGTGTACAGAAAAGTCTCATCATACACAAACAGCTTATAAACGCTGCGTGGTCAAACTTTGTTTCAATTCTCTTGGACATTTTATTTAATACTTTCAAACGGATTAAAAGATATTTTGATGTAGACGTGTGGAACAAACACCAAGTAATTTCGCAGGTAATTATTCCATTGTGGGGAAAGTTGTAAAAGTTAAGTACAACGTGCTTTACCGATACCAACAGATGTATTCCGTGCTAAAGATATTCCTCGTCACGCACGGCAGCTATCGCAAGAAGTAAACAGAGTGTAATGTGAAAGTAATCGGGAACGGTGCTAGATTGTTATTAAACGATGGCGTCATTAATTAAAGCCAGTAGTGGCGGAGTAAGTGGCAAGTGGTGATGGTAATATGGTAATGGTAATGGTCAGTAATGGTGTCGTGGCCGGGAAGTAAGCAGACCGAGGAGAGCGCAGAGCAGACCTCACCTGTCTGCTAGATCCTGCAAAGGTCAACGTATCCTCCATAAATGTTAACAATATCACATGTCATTGATATGAGATGGTACGTTCTCCCGCCGCGGGCCGAGACGTGCAGCGCCCACACCAATGATAGATGAGATATATCAAGGATGGGAATATCATACCCACGAGAAATAAAGTAATTCACTATTTGTGGAGAAATAAAGGAGTTCAATACTTGTAAAGTGGGTTAAAACAGGAACAAGGGATTTTAAAGTCGCTCTTTCAATTAGAGGTAAAAGTAGGATGCTGAAAGGTAAACCACTTAATTTAACGGCTGTTCTGAGAGGACTAGTAAGTTGTCTGACATTTTAAGCAAACCAGAAAATGGAGACATTATTTAGTGACTGGGTTTGCCGGTTCCCGACGATGACCCAGTGCAACTTTGTAACCTGAAACTACCTGAACATTATCAGGGAGTATCTTTACCTACTCAGCATGCATCTACAGTACCTCGTATCGTGTGCAACATGTATTGTTTTACTAGGCAAAATGTTATTACATTGCGTATGTTATAAACTCAACTTCACAGTTAAGATGTTTTGTTATAAATCGCGAGTTTGTTTCATAATAATCCTGGATGTTAAACGTTAGCCTCTCATTGGTTGGTTGACACCTCACCTAATTCAATACTTCAGGTCTACAACCAGTTGTCTTGTCAATCGGTTTGGATTGCTGCGTATTGAGCAAGTCATCCAGAAACGTGGCCAGAGCGTGAAATATTTAATCCTGATATGAAATGAGAACTGTCAAACTAGATGTCAAAGTTCGTTCTGGCGAACGTACAAAATAAAATCCGTCAGCGCCTTTTAACAGCATCGAAAATGATTTGTGGAAATAACAAGTTTGGACAATGATTACGTATTGTGTAATAAAATATTTCAAACCCAATACGGAAATTTAAAATTCAATATTATAACTACAGCAGTGCGGCTACATGTTGGTAATATCATAGATTTACTAACACAAGGGAGTATGTTTTATCTAAGGTAAAATGTAGGTGTGTAGTATAAAAAGACTAGAGTACAGTAACTGTAGATGATGATTGACAGACGGGATAACACAATTAAACCAAGACCTAGTATTTGTCAAGAAGCTGTTAAAAACATATTTAAGTCAAGCGGCCTACTACAATGTTGATGAAATATATATCTAGGCCATATGCATCCCTGAAGAGGGAATGAAACCATATATATCAAGCAAAGTATATAATCTGACGACCACGTCGCTGATGCGATACCAGTGGGAGTACTCCAAGTATCCAAGTAAGTAATTACCTGAACCAAAATAGCCTAATAGGATAGCTTCTACAATCTTATAGCAAAAACTACTTATTATATTTCAACAGTTCCAAACGATATTTAAAACGTGAGTAAATTGACATTGTTCTACCAGAGCAAAAAAGCTCAATAACACTTGGGGTTTGCTTTGATTGGTGGAAATACGTAATAATTTAATTCTAAAATTGGTTATGGATGAAGGGGAGAGTCTTGATGAATCATAGCCATATTAAATCTCACAAAACTGTTTGGAAATTGGAAGGAAGCTATACATTCTCATAAAATTTAAAAATTAACAAATAGAATGTGTTAATTTTTAAATTTTGTGGTGTAGCCTACATTTATTTATTGTCCTCAACAATTTTTGTTCAACTCGCCTAATATTATGTATGAAATCTGCATTTAACACAGTACTGTATATCAATGACGGAGCTTATTTTAGCTGGAGGTCGTACGATCAGCTGTTGGGACGACGCCAGCAGACGACGCACCGCCGCGACGCGCGCCCGCGGGAGGATATTATATCTGTTCCGTTTCCGCCGGATTTATGAAGTGGCAGACAGTTATATAACAGTTTAGTCTATAAATTATATTTAGACGTCGTATTTCATGCGGACAATGCGGCTCATCTATATAAGGCTCAGAATAGTCAGGTGTACTTAGCGTGTCTCCTGTAGTTCATTCATTGGCTGCCAAGAGACACCGGAAGAAACCGCTTAAAATTGTACGGTAATCCATCAGTAAATAATAAGGAGTTAAAATACAGCACTAAATACGTTTTGGGTATCTGGGAATTAAATTTATTTGTGATTTCAATGGTGTGAGTAAACCATTGTTACTACTACACTCCGGTTATAGAGTCATAGGAAAAGGTTGATACTATGCCGATGACTACTTTAGTGAACATTATTGATTTTTGTATTTCTATTTTTTAGTTGACATTGTATTTTACTGAACATAAATAAAAAAGCTTACTAAGTATGGTATAAATTAGTACTTGGTGGAAGAAAATCTAACCTTTCTGCTCTTTTATGAGCTCGTAATGTTGAAAAAATGTTGTTCAAAGGTTTTAGCCTATAATTCTTTCATTCAGTCTAGTCTATTTCCATGTATACTGGGCATATTTATTTAATCCTAATACAAATCAAGAATGGAGTTCGATGGTCTGTTCAGTATTTTAGGGTCACTAATAAAGATAATTACTGAACCTAAGCTTTACAAGTATTTTAAAGCTTCGTATTGTAATTTAAAACACATAAAATATATCTGGGGGTTCAAAAATGTACGATGAATATATGTTCATGTTGTATATCTATTTAAAAATGTGGTATGATGTTAACAACTACTCCATGCTTAATAGAACCATCAGAAGCTACTGGACGAGCTTTAGTTACTCGTGCACATAGTGGGGTTTTATCGCATATTTGTTTCAACCACTTATGTGTACTGTCGCAATACGCAATACAACGTCACCAGGAGACAATACACGTATTCTCGACCAATACACCGCCTCGGGAGGAGAGTTTCACGCATAAATCGCGACGTAAATGAAGCGAGGAGATACGAGATCGGATCAGTCGCGATCGCATGCGTAATTAAACTGGAGAAATCGAACCGTCAATAAACAAAACGGCAACTGGAGCAGACAGCCAGCGCTGGACTTTCGACTGGACTTTGGTTTATGGCATTAAAATATGATTCAGGAAGGTATTGAACGAAAACCTTGGTCAAATGATTTTATTGAGAACGAATTGTGATTGACGATACCAAACTGAAAGGTTTTGTATTTTTTAAGTACAGGAAAATTGTTCGAGACGAGGAAAATTAAAACGAATCAACACCCCTACTATCCTAGTTGACATGTTGTGATGATGTAGCAAACCTCCAAATACCCCGTTGACATGTTGTGATGATGTAGCGAACCTCCTAATACCCTAGTTGACATGTTGTGATGATGTAGCGAACCTCCTAATACCCTAGTTGACATGTTGTGATGATGTAGCAAACCTCCTAATACCCTAGTTGACATGTTGTGATGATGTAGCAAACCTCCAAATACCCTAGTTGACATGTTGTGATGATGTAGCAAACCTCATAATACCCTAGTTGACATGTTGTGATGATGTAGTGAACCTCCTAATAACCTAGTTGACATGTTGTGATGATGTAGCGAACCTCCTAATACCCTAGATGACATGTTGTGATGATGGGGCAAACCTCCTAATACCCTAGTTGACATGTTGTGATGATGTAGTGAACCTCCTAATAACCTAGTTGACATGTTGTGATGATCTAGCGAACCTCCTAATACCCTAGTTGACATGTTGTGATGATGTAGCAAACCTCCTAATACCCTAGTTGACATGTTGTGATGATGGGGCAAACCTCCTAATACCCTAGTTGACATGTTGTGATGATGTAGTGAACCTCCTAATAACCTAGTTGACATGTTGTGATGATCTAGCGAACCTCCGAATACCCTAGTTGACATGTTGTGATGATGTAGCAAACCTCCTAATACCCTAGTTGACATGTTGTGATGATGGGGCAAACCTCCTAATACCCTAGTTGACATGTTGTGATGATGTAGTAAACCTCCTAATACCCTAGTTGACATGTTGTGATGATGTAGCGAACCTCTAACACCTTAGTTGACATGTTGTGATGATGTAGCGAACCTTCTAATACCCTAGTTGACATGGTGTGATGATGTAGCGAACCTCTAACACCCTAGTTGTCATGTTGTGATGATGTAGCGAACCTCCTAATCCCCTACTATTAATATTTAGGCTTGATTTCCTAAATCTATGCTGATTCATCATTACAAATGAGTCACTAACATAGCTTGTATCTGTGCACAGAAATTCTCTCCCTGGTTTCCTGTTGTAAATAAAGCTCATATTTGTATGTGTATATGTTCTTCGCTTATTAGACGAATCGATAATCTTAACGCAAATAAACTTTATCTGAAGATACATTTTATTG